AAAAAAAAAAAAAAAAAAAGAAAACAAAACAGGGACTCCACTTCTGCCACTGTGCCCCTGCTCAGAGGATGTCCCCTGAGGCTGTGCAGATGCTGGTTCTCTGTAATGTACACATTTCCATGGCCTTGGGAAGGGTCTTCTTGAAGTGGCTTGTAGGTTCAATGCCTGATTCCTCTGAATCCCTTTCTTTGCACAGTACTGTGACCACAAGTGGCTAAAATGTGACAAATATCCACTCAACTTAAGAAATGAAACTTTTCCCAAGCACTATATTCTCCTGGAGGTGGCCTCTCCCCCATGGAGGTGTGGCTGTGGTCAGGGAGGCACATGTGGACTCAGGCCTTAGTCTGGTATGGGAGTGAGGGTTCCGAGTATCTGCTAAGGAGAAAGCACTGACATGCAGTGGGAGTCCTTGGTGTGGCCACCTGATGGGACCCCTGAAACCCCTCAACACACTTGTGTAGACAGAAGGACATGTGGGAGGAAAGGAAGGACCTGCCCAGACATAAGCCCTTCTTCAGAGAGGTCCCTGCAGCCTCCCACCTGCACTGCTTGTTCTATGAGTGGTTGCTGGGGGTGGGGTTGGTGGCATTTGTTTACCCCAGAGCCTGCATTCTGCCCACCAGTGGTGGGAGTGGTCCTCATGGATCCCTGGACCTGCATGGATACATGCAGTGCAGCCCAGGGGGCCTCTTAGGGTCAGAAGAGGGGAGGCTGCAGATGGAGGGGACAGGTTGAAGGGGAAATGTCCCCTGACCCCTTCCTCTGCCAGGAGGTGGCTATGCCAGGGTCCCCAAAATGAGTGGTGGTGGGGATCCCAGAGACATCTTCCCCAGGAGGCCCTCTGCTGGCCTGGCTTCTTGCCTCTGTCTTGGAAGATGAGGAACTTGTTTGCTGACCAGCAATTGGGTCTGTCACAGGTCCTGTTTTCCCCAGGGACTGGAGGTCCAGAGCCTCAGTGGGGTACCTGGCTTCTGAAGTGGGGGGGTTCCCTTCCTTCTCTCAGCCAGATCCACCCAGGCCTAAGGCTCTCTACTGGGATTGGGGAAGTGAGCCAGGGTGGGTCTGGGCCAGTTCCAGGTATCTGCCGGAAAACCCCTAATGAGGAAGAAGCTTCAAAGCCATCTGGAGCCCCAAAGAAGAGCTCAGCAGGGCCATCTGCTCTCCAAACAGGTTCCCTGGGGGTCTGTTACTAGTGGAGGCTGGTCCAGTGCAGCACAGGCCAGCAGGTCCTCTGTCCTGGTGTGTCCACAGTGCTGGTCCTATGCCACCACTTAACTGGGGAGCAGAGGTGGGCAGCAGTGACAATAGCAAAAAGTCCTGGCTGGGCATGGAGGCATTGCAGCCACCAGCAGCTGTCATGAAGGATGGGCTGGATAGCCCAAGTGAGGTGGGGGCAGGTGCTTGTGTAGACACCTCCTTCATACCCAGCTGGTGCTGGGTATGGTGCTGGGTATTTGGTGCTGCAAGAGCCTTTGGTTCTGTTCTCTTAAGGCCCAGGGAAGGGTGGCCTATGGTAGTTCTACCATGTCCTCTCTAGAGCCAGGAATAGCCAAGAAAATGTCCCAACACCCACCTGGCGTCCCAGGGCTGTACCTGCCCCCCATACCGCTCAGCTTTCCCCCCTCCCACACTAACCTCCACCTTGCTCAGAGGCCTGGGCTCTACCCCAGGGCTGCCCAAGACCCCCAGCTGGGCCACTTAGCAGTCCTTAGCTCCCAAGTGGACAACTAGAGCTTCAGCTAGTAGGAAGCAAAGTCCATGCTCAGGGCACAGGGTGTGTGTTCCTGTTGCAGTGACCGCCATGAGCGTGCTTTGGAGCTCGCTGCAGTAAAAATAATGGAGGGGCCACGCTTGCACTCGAGTCTCTGTCTGCACCCACATCCTTCCTACGGTGACACCGGCTGCACAGTCGAACGTGAGCAGCCCCAGGACACGAACCCGAGATCTCAACGAGGCCCCGCCCCCTCGCCCACCTCCAGAGGGCGCCCCGGCCCGGCTCTCGACGTGCTCGCCCCCGCGCCGCTTCCTGCGCGCCCTCCTCGGCCGCCGTCCCCTGCAGCGCGCTTGCGTGCGCGTACCTGCCGGTGCGGGCGTCGTGCGTGCGCGTGCGCGGCGGCCCAGAAAGCGGCGCTCGGACCCTGAGGCGGCTTTGCGGCGGCTCCTCGGCGGCTCCGCGCTCCGCGCTCCCGGCTCCCCGCGCTCCTCCTCCGGGCCCGCCAGCCGGGGCCGCTCCGGGCGCAGGAAGATGCCGGCTGTGTCCAAGGGGGACGGGATGCGGGGCCTGGCGGTCTTCATCTCGGATATCCGCAACTGTGAGTGGCCCCGGGCGCCGCTCCGGGCCTGTGGGCGGGAGGGGAGGCGGGGGCGGCCAGCGGCGCGGACCGGGGGCTACAGGTCCAGACCCGGGACGGGGACAGGCCTGCCCGTGCACGCCGGGGTGTAGGGGCTCAGGGCTTGGGGTGCGGGGTGTCGGGTGCCGGCGCGGCCGCGGGGCGTAGCGGGGCGAGGTGCAGGGCTGCGGAGTCTGGGGCGCTGGCAGGGTGCGGGATGCGGGGCGTTGCGGTGTCTGGGGTGCTGGCAGGGCGCGGGATGCGGACAGGGGTTTGGGGTTATGGGGTCTGGGAAGCAGGGAGGGGGAGTGCGTGGTTTGGGGCGCTGGCAGGGTGGGAGCGCGGGGTGTGGGGTCTGAGGCGCCGGCGGACGCAGGGCGGCGTCCTCCATCCGCATCCCCACCCTAGTCGCTGGCCTGAGCGGAGTGGGGGGTCCTGTTGCACCGCCGAGGGGGTTCCGGGCCCAGACGCCCCTCCCCTGCATGATGTCATCTCGGTCTTTACAGTAGCTGAGCATTTAACCCAGAGCTTTCCATAGTAGCGTGGATTTTTGCTGTGGGAGCAGAAATCTGGAAATCCGCGTCTTCCCGAGAAACAGCTCCCTGGCCTGGGGCCTGGTGGCTTATTACGCCCTGATTAGATCTCCCCCGCCACCCTTAAAATGACTCATTCCCGGAGGGAATCCGGAGTAGAGCAGCCAGGGTGCAAGGTGGCTTCGGGAGTTGCACAGCCCTCCTCACTGTTCCCTTGGGCCAGGAATCTTCACCTAGAAGTGAAACAGGCCTCGGGAGCTTGGCCACACAGGGGCATGCATGACATTTGGCTTCAATGTGTGGAGAGGATCCCCTTATCTACTTTGAGGAGGAAAAAGCCAGTTTCCTGTCTTGTATGCTTAGTTTTTCCTTGTTATCCAGGGAAGAGCTGACTTTATGATTCTTGGTTGTGAGGAATTTGTGTGACCTTCTCTACTGATAAATACTGCTGTAGGGAAGCTTCCCTTTAAACTGTTACCTCCTTAGACTGACTGGTGGATCAGGAGGACAGCCTGGTTCTAGTACAGACTCTGTGCAAGGGTAGAAGGCTTTGTGTCCCTTCCCTTACTCTGCCAACAAAACAAACAAACAAACAAACAAAAACCCCCATAGAAACACTCCCAGGTCACTGCTTGTATAAGTAGGACAGCATTCTCTTTTTTGTTTTCCCTTCCTTTGCTATGTGATAAAATTACCAAGACAACATATTCATAGTAAATGCAGTGCATTTTGTAAAACTGTGCTTATTCTTTGTTAAGAGAACCCATGGGGCAGAGGCTGAGCAGTCTTAAGTTATGACATTTATCCTTCCATTTTTTTTTTTTTTTTT